GCATCTGCTACTTGAAATGTATCGATTAGTATCCCATCAAATCCTGAAACCTTATTTTTGTCAGTGCCTTCAGTGCTGCCTGAACTTCTTCATTCATAAACATGGGCTCTTGTTCGTTTGCTGTTTCTTTTGAGATAGAAAAGAGATCAGATAGAAAAGAAGAAAACAAATATAGGGAGATGAATGATGCCAGGCTTGGTGCCCAAGTGCATGGACCAAGGCTGGGACCTTCCCCCAGAGCAGCACAGGGAGCAGGTGTACACAAGCACTCCCACAGAGCTTGTGTCTTGAATTCAGACTTGTAGGAAGTAGGAGTGGCATCCATTTCCTAAACAACATGCTTCCTGAAACTCTACGAACTTTGATATATGATGATTGTTATAGAAAGGCTTCAGGCCTTTTGTTTATATGGTCACTATGAGTTGTGCTTGAGTTAGTGGCAATCATTAACAACAACAACAGTGCAACCTGACTCTTAAAATTATTTTCAGAATTGTTAACTTCTCTTTTCCACTTCCTTTATGCCCCTTTCACCACCTAATAAATGTTGGTCTCTGTATATTAACCTCTTTTGTATTATCTTTTGTATTAGCAAAGTGATGCAATATCTGTTTTTCCAAATGACTTATTTTGCCATTTAATTTCGTTTAATAAGACATTCTTAAGGCTTGCAAGGTAGGGAGATAACAACCTCAATTAAAGAGTTGACCAATAATACAACACAACTCTCTGGATTCTCAGGTGAATGATCAGTTGGGGATTTATGTCCCTGAGAAAGCCAGTGCTCCATGTTTGTATATAGCAATATACCAAAAGGCTTAGGCCACGGACACACAGTATCAGACAAGTAGAACTGAAGCTGCAGGTCATTTGCCCTACGTCTTACATGCATTTCTTCAAGGAAGTATTCAGATCAACCCTGTCTTCAGTATTTACTGAGTGAGTATTTTGATGCAAAATTATGAGATTTTTCATAATGACTTCCAGGATCAATAATTGAATTAATACTTAACAAGACCAGTTTATTGAAATAAGATGTCAGAAAAGTTTGATTTTGTAACCTTTTAAGCATGAATGGACCCTGATTTCCTTGAATTCTGTAAGATGAACAAAAGAAAAGCCACCTATTAGCTCCCATACCTTACTTAGGGTAAGTATATTCCCTGACTTTTTTTTAAAGAGCAATTATGTTGTTGCTTTGAGATCAACGGCTCTTCTCTGACCTCCTTCCTTTTGCTGGTGTTTACAAGTCTTTATGTGTATCTAACACATAACTTTTGCCAATTCCATTTCTTATAATTTTCATAATGTATTGACAGCAATTGGGTCACCTCTCTTGGGAATGGGAACAAATATGGACATTTTCTAGTCACTCTGCCTTGCAGCTGTTCTTCAAATTTCCTGGCATTGCCTAGTGAACATGTGTTTTGCTTAAAATGTGTTCAGTTTCTTTAAGGTTAACTTATAAGTTGATATTTTGTATTCAAGTCTTAAACATTGTT